TATGAAAGATAATTTGTCACAATATACAATATACTACTCATTGAATCTTACCAACCATCAGATTTACCAAACCAATCTACTCAAACCCTTTCTTGTATGAGCTTATTCCGTGATTCTTTTTTCTTTTTTTATTTATTTCTTTCTGATTTTGGTGGCTCTCTCATTTGCTGTCAGAGCACTAAGATGAGAAAAAATCTCTCTGCATTAATTTCCGAAATTCGAAAAAAAATCTGGCTTTGCTCACTAATTTCTTGTATCACTTCTCGATCGACAAAGCCAATAATAAAAATATAATTGATTAGCGCTCACCAGCTTTAGTCATGTTTCCTTCGTCATTAGTGCGCTAGAAATTTTTCTTCATTAGAAGCATATGTGGGTTATCGAACCAATGAGACTTTTTAACGATCATAGAGCCATCGGAAGAAGCCGAATCCTTACGTGTCGACGCACCATCTAAATAAATATACACTTGACTACCATGCCTTTGACGATAAGGCTGGAGAACAAATAATGAAAAAGTTCAGGAAAACGAAATGGTAGCTGGAGAAAAGCTAGGCACAACCAAACCAAATTCAGTTACGAATATCTGACATTAACTCAGATAAAGACGGAAAACGACGGAAATATTCACTCGCAATTATGATAATAGTCGTAATGCACACTGGTTCTGAGCTGATTCGATGGTGCATTTTCCCTCCTCGAGGTTTTGACAGTTATCTTCAGGATTTACCAGCTTAACCTTGATGATTCCTTTCGCTAATGTAAATCAGTACGATGCTTTAAAATCATTTAATGACAAGCAATGATTAAGTTTAATGACGCTTGTTTGTATTAATTTCTATTAACATTTCTTCGTTTTCTTACAAAACTTTTCTGGTTTGGTCGAATCCACTGTCTGCAAAGCATGATATCCTCGCCATTAAGAGTCTTAGAGTATCAATAAAAGCGTTTCTCCTGTCAAATCACAGATATCTATGATAATGGAACCACTAACAATATATTTCTCGGCCGTTCTTGTTTCGATCTATCAATTAAGTTTAACTGAAACATTTTTTCATTTCTAAATATTACTATAATCTTAATCTTATAGTCGTAATGCTTAGATCTGCGTCGCAGAATTAAATCTATCATTAAGAAGTTGCAAAGAAATCAGAAATAACTAGAATTAGTGATTCTCTTACTTTACTTTACCTAAATTCTTATCGTAAATTTGAAGTAATTATCCAACAGTATTTCAAATAATCCTTCATGGACTTGCATTCCCGAAAAAAAGCTAAAATAAATTGTCGTTTTCGCAGTTACATCATCTCTCAACAAATAAACTGAAAAATAATAATTCGAAAAGATTTCTAGCGATAAGGAAACAAAGTGAAACGTGGAATAAGAAAAGCGTTCGAAACAATGGATGATCGTCTTATCATATCTTCTTATCAAATAACGAAAAAAACTTAAAGTAGTAAGTTGAAAACTAACGAGCCATCATCGAACCTCATTTGGGGGATCATCCATTAAGTGATCGATCGACTTGATCGTTGTTGTAATAATAAAAAAAATCCGGTTTTAAATGCAAGACACGAAAGATGACAAGAGTATGCCATCTAAAATTGTCAATAACCACATCAGTTTGAGCATAAGGTGAAACGGATAGGGAAATGAGAAGTATAGAGGGGGGGGGGGGGGGGGGGGGGGGGGGGGGGGGGGGGGGCGGGGATGGAGAGAGAGGTGGAAAGGAGAACAAACTCTTCCTGTCTGATCAATGACCAAAAATAAAATCTTTCGAAATGCTGTTTTCTTAAAATAATTTATATTTAATCGTTTTAAGAACCCTTTAGCCACTTCATAATTTTTTAAATTAATTATTTAATTAACTGGCGATTTTTTTAAAACAGGGTTCGCCACTGCAAATTAAACTCATTTTGCTGGCTTGTCGAGATTGGCAAATATGCCAGGGAGTCCTTTGGCGATAGAAATGGAGTTGAGTCGCCAGCATCACTCGGAATTTACTATTTGCCATGAAATCGTTTCCGACTTTTAACGACCATGTATATTCCACATAAAAGTTGAAGAAACAAGAGGGCTCGTCGCTTGCCACATCCTCTTCCCAACCTGAGACCAGTCTATTTCGTCATATTCTTTTTGTAGTGTGACTTCGTGGCCTACATATAATTTTTTAAAAAGGACAATTAGGCATTCTGAGATTCTCGTTTTTGTGAGTACATTGCATAGCTTGCAAAGATCATTGCAATCAAAAGTGTTATGGAAGGTTTTATAAAGGTTTTATCAAAATTGTAATCAAAAACAACTGTTTCATTAATACTATAAAATTAAAATTTAAAATTTCCGTAAATTATTCAAATTTTAAAATTATTACTTTTCAGTGAAGAAATACTTTTTAAATAGAAATTTGCAAATTTGTAAATTTATATATTGTTCTTATCAGACGCCGCAATTTGCGCTCATCATTCTGACAAGCTCTGCAGGTTGTTTATTAATTTGGCTAGAAATTTATGCCGGAGAATTACTTGACTGAAATACAAGTGAGTTGCAGCACCCGGATTTTTAATTCTAAAGAAGGGAAGCAGATCGACCCTAAAGTTACGTTTTTGCATTCAACGTTTAGCGACACCAATCTTCGATTGCTCCTTCAAGTACAGTGTTTCTAATTTCTAATCCGTGGATTCTTCGGCATCATCTTTAATATTTTTTATCTTTAATATTTTGACTTATTTTGAATCAGCGATCGAATCGCTGTTATCACAACACCAATTCGATAAATTTTTCTTCCAACAAAACCAACGTCCTTTGACTAGAAAGCCTAACAAAAGTGGTGTTGATGTTGCTTGCCAAAACGCTGGAGATTCTAGCTTAACTAAATTATAAGGCAATGACTCATAGGTTATCCAACTTTTTTGCAGAAAAAATGAAAAATTCATTGAATTTGCAATTTAAAAGCAATTAATCAAGCCAATAAAAACATTCACTATCGAAATACAAAAATACAAAATTCAATTAAAAAGGAAATCAAATTAAATATTACTTGGTGAAAATTTAGTATTTTCGCAGTTTCAGGTCACAAATCCTTACAATAACCAAATCGCCGAAAAAAATTTCCTAGAATTTAAATAATTGGAAAATGGGGAAATCCCGATGAAGTTTAGCGCGCTATAAAATTACATAGAATGCCTTCACTGGAAATATTTGAGGAAATATATAGAATTCATGAAAAATTCTATGAAAAATACCTAGAAGTTTTCAGATAAGCCTTCAGATCATTAATCAGAAGCACATACAGTGCACTTGCATCATTTTACAATACTATAATGTTTGTTGACAAATGCAGAGACTGAGGTTGTGCTATGATCTACAACGTAATACAATCACTGTCAATGCATGTAGAGAAGGTGGAGTCCTTGCCGGTCTCAAATTATCACAAAATGCTTCTTCGCAAATTTTTTTCAGATTTCCAAAGCACATTTTATGAATTCACCAATTAAAAATGGTATTTCTATTTGTGATATTGGAAACTGACATAAAATTTTCATTTTTTATAAACTCAAATGAAATCGAATGAAACGATTCAAAGAAACATTGACAGTGAAATAACAACAGAAGTACAAGTAAGCCGGGTTTTTGAAAGTTTGAAAATTAAGATTTGTACCTGCAGTGTCGCAGTTCTGGCGTTAAATCGAAGCGACAAACCATTGAGCCATAAAGTTTGGGCTGGCTCGTTTTCAATAAATTATTAAAAATTTAGACGATAAAATTATAAGAGATGGAAATAAGAACTGGCCTTGAGTGAGCATGCATTGGATAAGTATTAGAGGGGCGCTCACTTGACAGTCGTTCATGGGTGAGTGTTACGAGTTTGGAGTGCTTGGAGAATTTGTTCCTGGGTTTATTTTGAAGTTTTTGCCTTGGTTTGCTTTTATTTTGGTTGGTTTGCACATTGTCAAAAAGGTGGTATTTCAGTAAATTTTTTTGCAATACAACCTTATATCTTATTTGCTATTTATATATGTATAAGTTCGCTTAATCCACCACTTTTTCCTAAGCCAATTTCTTTCTTTCTTGTAATTCTTTTAACTTAATTTTAGTACAAAATCAAGCACTTCCTTGTTCAACCTTAATTTCTTAGGCGTTAGCTTGACCACAAGATCCTGAAAATCAAAGTATAGAGTCCTCTGTGCCTTTGAATTCTCGTTAATCCTACCTAAGGCTGGATTAATTGTTCAGAAGGTTAGATTTGTGTGTTCAAAATAAAGAAGACAATTTAACTTTTTTAAGATCTGATTATTTGAAAAAAGAAATGAGGAGTACACGACTTTTTAAGCGTTGGAATCAAAATTTTTCTGCTTTTCTTCATTTTTAAAACAGCCAAATTGCATTCAAAAAAAAAGATAAATTGAAAATAGTTCGATTTTGGTGGGTTTTAAGGAAAATTTGGACAAAGGATCGAATATAACGCGATTTATTCTTGATGCCAATATCTTTCCAAAACCACCTCAAAGTTTGATGAATTTTTTATGGCAAACGAGAATTTGAAGGAACTTCACTTCATATCATTGTTAATATTATAGAATTTATAATTCAATCGATTACACAATAACCACGAGTTTTTGCGCATTTTCATCCGAAAATAATTTTTTTTAAACAGTGAAATAATTAAAATACCAACGAATCGCTAAAAAATTAGACATATAACGATAACTTATAACTTCCTCGACTTACAACGATTAGGGTAAACGAATTGAATTTTGCAAAAAATTTTTTTGGGAAACCTAAAATCAACAAATCTTTGTATTCTTTTATTGATTCATAGCCTTATTAATTTAAATTACATCTCTATTTTGCGGATATCCCTCCCATTAAATCAAATAATCTTTATAATAAATAATGTTCAATATTTTTCTGAAATTTGATATTTGATGAATATTGATGTGCAATATTTGATGAATTTATTAAGGTGAACGAGATTTTGAGGCAAATTTAGTGCATGATAATCAGTGGCAATGTAGTGTAAATATAGATGTATAATTGTACAGATTACGAACAATAACCGCAAGTTCTTGCGCATTGTTGAAACATATTGCCACAGTTATTTGTGGTTGTAATGGCGGCACAGCTCTGTCTTTCGTCTCTACAAGTCGTTGCTGGAGATGGTAAAGTCGTCGCTGAAATACATGAAAATGACATATAACGATAACTTATAACTTCATTCATTTGGATTATGCATGAAATTCTTCTATAAAAGATATGGGTTATAATGGATTGGTATTTATAATATAGTATATAAGTACTTAACAACATACCGTATTTAACAATGTGGCGTATATGAGCATTTTCCGAAATTGTGTAGCAGGCAAACCAGTGACTGTTATTTTCATCCTTCGATATGTTGAAATTTTATTTTTTATCTTAAAAATTTTATAATTTTTTGATAAAATGAAAAATCTACCGGTAAAAAAAAAATTCAATAGGTGATTAATTGAAATTGCGATATCTCGGAAAGTATTGTAGTATTATTAACATATAGTACTGTAGCCGAACAAACGCTTTGTATGTTTTAAAAATCTTCAGTTTTGTTCTTGAACAATAAAATTTAGTATCTTTGAGGATTTCTTTACCACGGCCCTGCAGTGAAGGTCGAAATCGAGATTTTCATCCATGATTATTCCAAGATCATGTGTGAGACTACCGATTATACTGCCATTAATAATAAGATTAAGAAAATCGAAACTTTTAGAATTGATATGAAGAACGCTACATTTTTGAAAGGAAAAGATAATTTGCCTGCCATATAGCCAGGTGGCTATTTTATTGAGATGCTCCTGCAGTGGAGATAGGCTATCTGTTCTACCATGAGAATAATAAATTTTACAATCATCAGCCTAAAGATAAATAGTATAATTTAGTACCACATTGGTGATATCATTTATATATAATAGAAAAAGCAATGGTGTAATACAACTACCTTGGGGAACACCCGATTTAACAGGTTTTGTGTCAGAAAGAGTGTTGTTGACGAGTACGGCTTGGTGACGGTCTTTTATATAATCTGATACCCAGTTATAAAGGGCTCCAGTAACTAAGAGAAAAAAAAAATCATTGTGTATGATAATATTAATTCAAGCAGCCAGTTTTATTTATGATTCCTCGTAATATTTGAAATATGACAGATGAAATTTGTAAAGTTTTAATATGAACCGCGGTGAAACGCGTTTAAACCTTTTAAGAAATTCTCAGTTGATTTTATTTAAATGAAGAAGGAATTTTTTTATATTGTTTCTTATTTTTATTTTCTTATTCTTATGGAAAAAAAAATTTCTTCTTATTCTTATGACTGCCATTCTATGCGCCCGTCAACCTTGGTTCTCTACGAGAGACGCAGAAGACTAAAAGTAGATGAGTCAGGGCTTTTCTAAGTAAGCGAGGTCAAAATTCCAGCCAAAATTCGAACAGCTCATAATCCTGTATTTAACCCGGAATCGTTCAAAATATTTAATTTTTTAAATAGAAATCCGTGGAATTCAAAATGGAACCATCAGTAGAAATAACACAGACGCACACATTAAACATTTCATTTTTTGCAAAAATAAGTTTATGATTTTTTAAAAGATTCATTAGAAAACCTTTTAAAATGTAAAATTAAAAAAAATTTTTTAAATAATTATCTTTTTCATTGCTAAAAAAGATTTAATTCATAGCATTCTAATTATTGAAACCAATAATTATTTAATTAAAAAATAATAATTAATTATATTGCCGGATAACCAATTCGTCCTGTCACTTTTAATTTTAGTACTTTAATATTTAAGCGAAAAAAAGCAAAGCATGCAAAGCATGTGGTGAGCGCTCATCATTTTTGGATAGGCTGAATCCTCTGCTATTACCATTAAAATGCTTGTGAAGACATTTGGCTCAGTTGCTATCTTTTGAATATTCGCATCCAAATTAAGCATCCCGTCTTATTTTGAAATACTTAATATATATACAAAGTATTTTAAACAATATAAGTCACCAGTAAAATACATTTATAATCATGTTGGTTATTTTTGAAACTGCCCACAGCTATTTGTGGCTGTAGTTGAGGCAGAGTTCAGCCTTTCGTCTGCTTGCTGCTGAGGATGACGAGTTTTCGTCGGTGAAATCTGCGAAAATGTTTAAATATTCCACTTTTCTGAGTTTTCACTTCCATCTTTTAGAATTAAAAATTCAAAAAAACTTACATTAAATTACAGTTGCGCGACCCACACGTTCTCTGGGACTTTGGGTATTCTTCAATCTATTGTCAAAACGAATATCCAATCGCACCAAAGCATCGCAATCATTGATAGTAGTAGGACGAATGTTTGCGGAAACAAATAAATAGCTAAGGCAAGTCTGTCAATGTTGTAATGCAAGGCCTGTGATTTGACTAGAAATTAATAATTTTTAGGTTCCGACCACATATTAGCTTTTCAGTAAATTTTGGGAGATTTTTGCTCAAATTCCTTTTTCCTTTTTCCTCCTCAACGTTTCAATTTCAGCGGTATTGCTTTCAATTGCTTTCTTGGGGCAATGCGAAAGATAATTATATCGAAAGACGATTTTTGACTTGCTTTTTTTCATAGGCTGTTGCCCGTTTTCCTAAATCCTTAGCATTTTTTTCACTTTTTCAGTGAATTGCGATTAATTTTTTTTTGCAAAAAAAGGCGAATTTGGGAAATGGAGTAAAAAATGCGTAGAAGACATCGAAAAAGCTAAGAAATTCTTATTGTACTGAAGTTGAAAGTGAATTGAGCTGGTAAAAATAACTTAGTTCTTAGCAATTTAGCATTACCTTCCTTAGTTAAGCAACACGTATGGAGAAACTTGACTGAGGAGAATGAATTGGCACAGTCGAATACAAGACGAAGAGTAGTTTCCTCGACGTAGAACGATTTTAGTAAAACGATTTTATTTTATTCATACATGAATATATATAGAATCTCGGTTAATATGAAAACATTTAGTGGGAATGGTTTACAACAAATATTTCAACAGATGTTCATTTGTATGACAGAAAAAACTATAAAAAATCTGTGTAAAAATCTATGTATAATAAGATTGGTTATAGGATGAAAGATTTTGCATGTAAATTAGTGTTTTAGCCATAAAGAAAAAGGATTGGAATTTAGTTAAATCAAGGTAACAAAAAAAACGCATAAAAAAAGGACTTTAGGAATGTGAGATCGGTTACATGATTTATTTACAATTCGAACATTATTTTATTTATTTATTTTTGGTTCGCTATTCGCGACAACAAGTCGCACACATTCGCGGATATATTTATCGTGTTAACACTCTATAATTAGTTATATCGAACAAAATTCGTTTTATCGTTCTTAATTTTAATATATAAGCGAAAAAAAGTATGCATGTGATGAGCGGTGACCACTTTTAGCTGGGCTGACTCCTATCGTTACGATTAGAATGCTTTGCCTTTTAGGGAACAATTGGCTTAACTGCTTTTCCCATCGAAACTAAGCTTCTCGTCTCTTTTGAAGTTGATAATTTGATAACCAATTTTGAAGTAGTCTCTTATCCTCCAATATTGCACTGTATTAAGTCAAATAATTTATAAAATCTATGATTGAAAATAATAAAACACCACTGAAAATTCGTCAAACTTCATCCATTTATTAACTATATTTATTTCATTTTCACTTTATTTTCATATTTTTATTAGCAAAGTTTTAGTTTTAAAATATTCTTTTTCTAGCGAGTTTAACTATTTATCATTGCCATCATAATTGTTATCATTATCACATTATAGTTTATGATGATTTTTATCACCATAATTACCATAATTTAAATTAAAATTATATTTTAAATTTAATCAAATTCCATTAATTCTTTTAAAATGAACTGCTTTTTTATGTTGATGTTGCATCATTTATATTTAACAATTTTTTCAATATTTAACAATTTAATAAGAATAAAAAAATAAAATTATTTGTTTTTATTATTACTGTTTGAAATAAACATATTTATTTTTCCACTCTAAAAATAATTCTTGTTTTTTTTTTCATTTTAATAAATAATATTACCAATTTCTCTTCTTCTTCTAACACCATTCACCATTACTCACCATTACTGGTTAGACTGGCTCAAACGGCTACAAGGATGCTTCCAAGCGGCACCGTCTGATGCCATCGCCGACAGTAATAGAAGCCATTCCTTTTTCCATCATCTAAGCCCATATATTGCTGGTCCACCTACACGTTCTTTTCTGGCCGCATCAGTCCAGGTCTTGATTGGCCCACCTCGCTTTTGACGCGATCCATCACACAGTTTAGCAAATAACGAAATATGCGACAATTCTTGTACACACAGTTTAGCAAATAACGAAATATGCGACAATTCTTGTGGTGGACGATGGAAAAAAAACGTGGCCTAACCGGCGAAAGCGACTCTATGTAATAACATTATTAATGCAAGTGGTATTTGAACGAAGATGGATGCGATCACATGATATTTTATCCGCTCGACGGATCCGTAAAATGTACCTTAGACGAGAGTATATCTCAATATTCTCCACTCTCATTGGCCATATCTCAGAGCCATATAGTAAGACCAAACGGCTATATAGATGCAGACTTTCGTTTTAATGGTAATTTCATGACGGCTCCATAAAGGTTTCGTCAACCGGAAGAACGCATTACCAATATTTTTGCATTTTCTTATTCATTGTTCTGCTTTTTTTCTAAACATTTTTTCTTTAAATCTATTTTTCTATATAGTTTGTATATAATTAAATCACTTTATTTGTCTTATTTATTATATATGAATAAATGAATAAAGTCAAATTGAGTAATTTTCCTGCATAGTCGTAAATAACACATTTCCATAGAAATAATGAATAACATTCATTGTAATAATGATTGAATATCTCAGATTTATCAACTTCTCGATGATACAAATTGAACCAAAATTGAACACGAAATAAAACTCATAAACCCGAAAAACCGTTCCACAAAATTCGGGCCGCGACCGTAAAAACCATAGAAATTATTCAAAAAACGGCGGGAAAATTATTAATATATGAATTTGGTGACGCTGCTTATAAGGAAGTTACTGGTTGTGGATGTTGTGGAAGGATGGTAGTAAGTTAGACGGGGAAGTAGTATGGTGCTGTTTTTTACTGCATTGTATTTCCTACTTCGCAACCCTATTTGCGACTTTACTTTGATTTTTAAACCAAAACTTTTAAAAAACCCATTCAATCCGAATTTTTGATTTAGAGCCGTTGTACTTTCCTTGCCAGAGTGCCATGGTGCAATGAATGAAGCGAACCCAGTGATATATCGGCGGTAGACTGTGGTGATTTTCGTGACATTGTTGATAAATTTACATAAATTTGCCC